CACACACACACACACACACACACACACACACACACACACACACCCACACACATACATATACACACACAAACGAACAAACAACAAACATACACATACACACACAAACGAACAAACAACAAACACACGTACATACATTTATACATGAAAAACATACATGCACGCGCATGCCAAATTTGACAACCGTACGTTTGGCACGTATAGTGTGTGTAGTAGGCATGCCAGCGCTAGGGGGGTCTGGGGGCATGCACCCCCAAAAAATTGAAATATTTAAGCCATTTTCCTGCAAAATGAGGCATACTGTGGGCCATATTCTCATGTCTGATGACACTATCTCAACCCTACAAGTTAGGATTTAAAACACTTTTCATGACTTTTCAGAGAGCGTACAGAGTTAAGACGTTACTATAGTAATATAATACATGTATTAAAACACAGGTAAGAATTGCAATTTCTCAGAATTTCAGGTGTTTTTGTATGTTTGCAACCATACTTTTTGGCTATACGTGAGTCTGGAAACATTTTGTTGAAGAGTTTATTTGCATGGTCTGCCGCCCTCAAAGGCACATTGTGTTTAATTAAATAATCCGTAAATCTCACTTCTGTATCAAGACAGACAATTCTCTATCTGCTGCAAAGAAGCTTGATATATTGGGTGTAGATTCCACTGCACCCGCGTAGCACATATGCGTTTGAGAGACTATATGCCTCTGGCAGTCACTCCTTCGGAAGGAACTTGAACTGAAAAGTGGAAATTGAATTTTTACCGACGTTTTATACGTCACTTCAGTTTACAACAAAATGTATAGGCAGATTTTTTTTTTTTCCTTTGCTTTTTTGCGTTTTTTTACCTTTACTTTTTTTTCGCCCCCCTGAACATGGCGCCCGGGGCACGTGCCCCCTTTGCCCCCCACCCCTAGATACGCCACTGGGTGTGGGCATGTGCGTGTGTGCGTGCGAATGTGTTTTATCATTATTATATATTATCCGAGTGTCGTCTGTCAGTACGCGCAGTTAGTATTTTAGCCAAAGAGCAAAGAGCGAGGAATATGCTTGCTCATTTCGTTATCGAATTTGATGATGACGTAGGAAAATTTCGTGGCGTGAAGGAAACAGAAGATGACCTGCTTCGCGAGCTCATATATAAGATAATTATCTAAGTAATACAAAACTATACAATACAAAAAATATAATACAGTACTATAGCATTTATAGTTCATATTATGCTATTATTTTTAATGAATTACTACTACGTACTGTAACGAGGAATGAGCGTTCAGTAATCGCCCGGCGTAAATAATCGCCCGAAAATATCTAACATTTTGGATACGGGCGATTCGATCGGGCGATTAAAATCGGCGTCGACGTGAACGGGCACACGGGCGAATTTTTCGAGCGATTTTCAAATTCGCGGCGATCGGGCGATAAAAATCGCTCGTGTGCCCCTACCTTTACACACAGACAAAGAACGCGCGTGCGCGTACTCTCGCGATCAGAACCCGAAATCCTCCCTTCCTACATCTCTCTTCTATATAAAATTCCCCCCAAAACTCATACAACTCATCCTGCACGCACATGTAGCCGTTCTCCCAGACCGCGTCCTATCCCCCATTTCACAATGACCCTAGAAACGGCCGACATAAAACACGTTTACTATTCTCCCTATAACATCAATCTAGCCGCACAAGATGCGCGAAGCTCTGTCTAGCTAGACTATGACTAAAACAACTACTAGTCTAGCTCCACTGACTAATTCATGTAACACGTGCAAAACACATGTTACAGTACTATGATATTTGTATTAGAAATGAAATTGAGCTTTTGGAACAAAAATGTAATTTATAAAATAATATATTTGTTATAATATCTAGATTATTGACAATTATCATAAATAATAGGGTTTCTTCTGAGAGAAAATTAGACAAAGGAGGTAATTGTCAGTTTGGGGAAAAACGCGCATGATGGATTCAAAGGCGTGTCGTATGCACGCATGCAGACCCTGCAGGTGGACGCGGGCGAGAGAGGGAGGGGGTGGTCTGGGGGTTCTCCACAGCAAAATTAAAAAAATTTAAATGTCTGGGGTTGTTACAGGAGCATTATCACAACGGCGATGTTAAATTTGACAACGGCGGTGCGCCACTGTGCCCCTTATATATGTAACGGATTTCCTATTCTCTCTACCTAACGGGCTACTTTACTCGACTTTACTTGAGCAATACCTTTGGCCGTGGTATAGGTCTGGTTGCCATTGCGCCGCGCACCCTGACAGGGCCGTTAACACCCCGTCCTTTACGAGTGCGATCACAAGGATCGCGATGTGGCATGTGGACAGTAGAACACCCGAGCGCCGAGAAAGGGGGGGGGGGGTTCCGGTCGTCCAGTGAGAGGATACGGAGGGGGGTGCCGGTCACGAAGTGAGAAGTAATAAGCAATAAGTAGGCAATAAGTTTAATATTTATTAGGTAACGCGTGCTAAAGTTAAGAAGCAATTAACACATTAACCAACACAGCAACAGCAGCACGTTCGCTCCGAGCCAGACTCGAGTCATCATCGCGCGCGATTCGACGCGTAAGACCATCACGCCACCGTAACACGCGAACTAATAATCACTACGTGCGATTTAAACGCCAGGGCCTATACATCACAAATAAGGTCGGATAACAGATCACTTCGCTATACTGTATAGACTGTCTAACGAGGGGTGTCGCTTTCGGTGGCGCCCCTGGTGTATAAAATATGCGAAAGCTCGGTTCGCAGGGCGATGCGAATTGAGGAACAACCCGCGAGTGTTAGCGTTAGCTTAAACTGTAGTAACGCGAGTGTAAGCTCACTCACAACCTCCGATGTGTCTGCGCACACTCACCGCAGTGACCGCACACGCCAGCTACACATAATTATCACACCATCAGTATACATTCCGTACACGGTACAGTACATTCCGTACATGAATCCATACCACACTAGTAGTAGTACTAGTACGCGCACTACAAAGATCTGCTACCACAAATCCAGAACACTCAAGTAATGCACTGCACTATTGATATCGGACACATTCTAAAAACACAGCTGCTCTCCCATAACCTCCCGCGTGTCTCTCCTTTCGCGCCGTTTCTGCCTATTGTTTTTACCATGCCGGGGACTGTCATCGCGGAGGGTACACACAAATTGTTCATTGCGGGACACCCCCACTAGCGCCATCTCTCGTGAGATAAAACTGTAACACCCACTACAGAAACGCATGATCCTAAAAGGGAATCTGCTACACTTCCCCCAACTTAAAATTGAAAAGGCCCTGCTCAATTTATACTACCAAATAAAAATAAAACATAGCAGATGACACATGCTATACTAGTCTAACCACTGGGGGAGCAACTGCACGTTGTAAACACACATTCCGCTAAGAACAAGGGGCAACCGCCCAGCGGTAAACATTACAAAAGAATGCGTAAACTACAAAATAAACGAATCGCGGCACGGGGCGCTTAGTGGACCCCGGCACTATGCGAAGTTCCTCCCACGCTGTGACGTGGCCTCCTCCAGGTCCACAGGTCGGTAGAACGTGCTCGCTCGCTCACTCACTGTTGAGGAGTGTTCAACAAAGAGGGAAGTTGAATGGCCCACGGCGACAGGTTGGCTTCGCTCTTTTCCGTGTGCGCCTTCTGCCACCCACCATCCATGTAGTCGGTCGAGCGGCAATTACGTCGCCGGCGCTCGGGCGACAACACATAACCCGCTCCTCGGTGGGTCTACACGGGCAAGGCGATATCTGCCCGCACAGGCAGTAGGCGTGACCCCACCACCCGCGTCGATACTCCAGATCGACACGTGCCATCCCCGTCCGCTCCGCTAACACATCCGGCAGTGTTGGAAAGGAGGAGTCGTAACCCCGCGAGCGTGATCAGCACCTGCAGGAGACTCACGAGGCGTCGTACGCCTCGTCACTTCCTCCTCCCCACAGACTCGTGCAGTGTTATCTCACCACGGGGTCTTACCCCAGTTTGAGCAATCCTAGTGCCACCGTAGAGGTCTTCTCTTCTTCCCTCCCGCTGCCACTCATCTGTCTACTGTTCCTTCCGGAAGCCGTAGTACGCGGGCGGCTGCACCTGCCGCCGGCTGCGCGTCACTTGCTCCGGCATTTGCGCCAACCCCCGTCGTCGGTACCCATGCTCCATGGCTCCAACGGCCTTGTGCCACCGCGCCGTCTCGTCTGCCATGCCCGCTTCCCCCACTTTGTCTCCTTCGCTGTCGGCTGGCAAGGGCGTTAAGTCCGTTGGAGGTCGTGCATCGCACTGTTCCGACTCACCATCGTCGGCGTCGGCCGGCTCTTGGTCGACAGGCATCTCGCACTCAGCCTTAGCAGTTCCTTGCTCTGTCCCCACCTCCACTTCTGTTCCTTCGCTGTCGGCTGGCGAGGACGTCAAGTCCATTGGGGGTCATGCGTCGCACTGTTCCGACTAACCATCGTCGGTGTCGGCCGTCTCTTGGTCGACAGGCATCTCGCACTCAGCCCCAGCAGTTTCTTGCTCTGTCCCCACCTCCACTTCTATTGCCCTCATCCCCTCAGCTTTCCGCATTTTAGGGTCCTCGGCCCCGACATCATCGACCACCCACCGTTCCGGGGCGTCTTTCCCCTCGTACGGCTTCAGGTTATTTACACAGACCACCTTCACCGGTCCGTGCTCTGTGGCCTGTATCGACCGGAGGGTACCACGACTCCGAACCACCAGGTATGGCCCAGTCCATGGCCTACCCAACTTGACATCGTCGGGCGGGTAGAAGTACCATACCCAGCTTCCAACAGGTAACGCTGACGGTTTCACGTGCTTGTCGTAGCACCTCTTCTGCCGCTCGGCTGCGCCATCGAGGCATTCTCTTGCTCGTTCGTGCGCCCGCCGCGTCGCTTGCCTCACCCACTCAACATATTCTGACGGACAGGCCGGGATCGACTCGTCGTCGGGCGGTGTCCACATCAGGTCGATGGGCATGCCGACCTCCCTGCCAAACAGCATCATATTCGGGCTGACGCCAGTGCTCTCCTGCATGGTTCCCCGATATGCTGCCATAACATACGGGAGATGGTCGTCCCAGTCATCGCAGTGGTCGTTGACAACCTTGGCAAGCATATCCTGGAGGGTCCGATTGAATCGCTCCACCAGGCCGTCCGACTGAGGGTGGTAGGGTGTCGTCCTGGTCTTCTCAATCCCAAGTAGATTGCACACCCCGGCAAACAACCGCGACTCGAAATTTCGCCCCTGGTCAGAGTGGAGTGTCCTCGGCACACCAAACCGTGAGAAGAAGTTCGTGACGAGGCAGTCTGCCGTCGTCATCGCTGTCTGGTCGGGTAGTGCGTAAGCCTCAGTCCATTTTGTGAAGTAATCGCACAGAACGAGTATGTGCTGATTACCCGACTTGGTCACTGGCAAGGGCCCCATGAAGTCGATGGCCACGCGCTTCATTGGTGCACCCACCGGCTGTTGCCAAAGTTCCGCACGGCGCATCCTCCCTCCTTTCCTCCTGGCGCACACGTCGCACTGCTGACACCGCATCCCCGGCCACATAAACCTCTGACGCACCCACTCCAGCGTCTTCAGTGCCCCGTGGTGTCCTGACATCTGGGCCCCATGTAACAAGTTCATGATCTCCCGTCGCATCTCTGGGGGAGCCACAAGCCTTGGCCGCGCGTCGCCGCGCAGGTGGTCTGGTAACCATAGATGGTGCAGCAGTCCTCGGCGTACCTCAAACTGGCTCCAGTTATGCCAGAACGTCTTCCCTTTCCAGGAGACTTGCCATATCATTGTAGGTGGGTTGCTCAGCGTGGGACCGCTTCAAGTCATGGATCTTCTTGATCATGGGATCCCCATGCTGCCACTTTTCTACCTGGGCGGTGTCCCAACGGTCTAGCGCCTCCCCATCCTTTCCTGGCACCGGGCTCCATGGTCCTGGCCGACACCTCGCTCTCGCGCGAAGCACCCGTCCCGCAACTGCGACACTACAGTCTGGGCAGTCAGCACGCTTACACCGTCGACAACCAGGCTACCGTGACAATCCATCTGCGTTGCTGTGAAGCCTCCCAGGGCGATGTTCGATTTTCATATCGAACGTCCCGAGGTAGGCGATCCACCTCGCCACCATGCCCTCTGGCTCCTTGAAGTTCAGAAGCCAGGTGAGCGACGCATGATCGGTCCGCACGGTGAAGTGTCGTCCGTGGAGGTAGTGCCGGAATTGCTTGACGGCGGTCACGACGGCCAGCAACTCCCGGTTGGTGGTACAATACCTCCGCTGCGTCTGGGAGAGCGTCTTACTGGAGTAGGCGATCACCCGCTCCACTCCTCCTTGACGCAAACGCTCAAACACATCGCGAAGGTTGCCCAGCGCACCCTCGAATGTGGAGCCGAAAACAATAACATCGTCCAGGTACACTAAGCACTCCCTCCACTGGAGACCTCTCAAGACGAGTTCCATTAGCCGTTCAAAGGTGGCGGGTGCATTGACGAGGCCGAATCGCATAACTCGGAAGTAGAATAGGCCTCGCTTTACCGCAAACGCAGTCTTGGCTGCATCCCGGGGATCCATTTCAACCTGCCAAAAACCACTGGCCAGATCAAGCGTGGAAAACCATGTGGCCCCGGCGAGGGAATCCAAAGTATCGTCAATGCGGGGCAAGGGGTACGCATCCTTCCTCGTCACATCGTTGAGTTTGCGGAAGTCGATGCAAAACCTCACTGCACCGTCCTTCTTGGTGACTAGAACTACTGGAGAAGCCCATGGGCTATCGCTTGGCTGCACGATACCAGCATCCAACATCCGTCCTTCACTGCATCGACATGATACAGTGCAATGTCATGACATCAGTTGTGTTGTGCAATTACAGCTTCGTAGTGGGACAACTTAGTGTGTTAACCAAACCACCAAAAAGTTAGCCATGTGATGATGTGACCGCATTTTCTCGTCAAGTGACTGTTGGTCTTCTTTTTGGACTGTTCGTCGTATGATCGTCTAGTCTTGTCGTGTGACTGCTTACTGTGAGTGAGCTTTGGCAAAGTGGGCCGACAGTCGAGGGGCCTGGCTGACTCTTCTTGCAAACGTCACAGCGATACGGTTTCTCACCGGTGTGAGTGCGCATGTGCTTGTGCAGGTCCGACACAGACGCAATGCGCAGTTTACACACGTCACACTGGTACCGTCTCTTTCCAGTGTGCACCTGCTCGTGTGAAAGAAGAAGATGCTTGCGAGCGAAGGTCGCTGCACAAGTATCGCACGCAAACGGTTTTTCGCCGGTGTGAACCATGAGATGCTTCTTCAGGTCGGAAGCTGTGACTGATGTTGAAGCTGTGACTGATGCTAAAGCTGTGACTGATGCTAAAGCTGTGACTGATGCTGAAGCTGTGACTGATGCTGAAGCTGTGACTGATGCTGAAGCTGTGACTGATGCTAAAGCTGTGACTGATGCTAAAGCTGTGACTGATGCTGAAGCTGTGACTGATGCTGAAGCTGTGACTGATGTTGAAGCTGTGACTGATGCTAAAGCTGTGACTGATGTTAAAGCTGTGACTGATGCTGAAGCTGTGACTGATGCTGAAGTTGTGACTTACGCTGAAGCTGAAGCTGAAACTGAGGCTGAAGCTGTGATTGATGCTAAAGCTGTGACTGATGCTAAAGCTGTGACTGATGGTGAAGCTGTGACTGATGCTAAAGCTGTGATTGATGCTGAAGCTGTGACTGATGCTAAAGCTGTGATTGATGCTAAAGCTGTGATTGATGCTAAAGCTGTGACTGATGCTAAAGCTGTGACTGATGCTGAAGCTGTGAC